GACTGAGAAATATTATTTTCTACTTTTTAGTCCATTTATAAAAGCGTTGTATATTAAACAGTTTTTTTATATTATTTTTTTTACCTTCCTTTTATTAACTCGGGATGTAACTATGTAATATTGGTGCGCTTAAAAGATGCAGCGATTTCTATTCCCAAGTTACAAACCTGATGACAGTACGAATGACAATTATAATAGGGAGGTTTTAGTTTTTTAAACTATAATTTTATTGCAAGTTCTTTTAGAAAAATTCATAACTGCACTCAATAAAAATGGCATGAGCTACTTTATAAGCGAGTTTTATTTTCATATCAGCATAAAGTATCTGGCAACGCCAGTTGGCTAGTTCAATTAACAGCTGATTTGACTTTTGTTATCACTAAAATTGATTGGAGTTATTTGTTTTTACCTTCCTTTTATTAACTCGGGATGTAACTATGTAATATTGGTGCGCCTAAAAGATGCATCGATTTCTATTCCCACGTCATGATTCAATAATAAAGGTTTGATCAAAAAACAGTTTTCTCGCTCCCTCTTGACAAAATCGGCTCCCTTAGCAAGGCACTGTGTGTTGGTTCGTGTGTGTGTGCAAAGCTTTTGTAAGGGAGCTAAGGGAGTGCCAAAACTCTAATGTCACTAATGAGCAAACCTTTAATTATTGAATCATGTTCCCAAGTTACATACCTGATGAGAGTACGAATGGCAATTATAATAGGGAGGTTTTAGTTTTTTAAACTATAATTTTATTCTCAAGTAGTTTTGCTCAGTGGCAATTTATACATATGTATGTAAGTAGTAGCGGCATACTGGGTGAACTAAATGCATTCCTACATACATATTTATGTACAACTATAGGTAATATTGTACGCGTCTTCCCAGGTAGGTTAAGTGCTCTAAAATACACACAAATTGTGGTTTCCAAAACATTTAGGAACTGATTAGCACAGCTGCATCATTCAACTTGTCAACTCGCGGAAAATTCCCCGATTTTCAGGGAAATTCGGTTTAAGTGGCAATCGGGGAATGGGCAATTTTTTTGGGAACTGGGTAAGTTATTTTTATATCTTAAAATAACCAAATTAGACGGATATGTTAATTTTTAACCATTTGACCCTTTTTGGAGCGACATTTTTTCAATTTGAATCACAAAATCTCCACAACAAGAGTTTTCCCAGATATAAGCTGTATACCAGGTGANTGGGTGAACTAAATGCATTCATACATACATATTTATGTACAACTATAGGTAATATTGTACGCGTCTTCCCAGGTAGGTTAAGTGCTCTAAAATACACACAAATTGTGGTTTCCAAAACATTTAGGAACTGATTAGCACAGCTGCATCATTCAACTTGTCAACTCGCGGAAAATTCCCCGATTTTCAGGGAAATTCGGTTTAAGTGGCAATCGGGGAATGGGCAATTTTTTTGGGAACTGGGTAAGTTATTTTTATATCTTAAAATAACCAAATTAGACGGATATGTTAATTTTTAACCATTTGACCCTTTTTGGAGCGACATTTTTTCAATTTGAATCACAAAATCTCCACAACAAGAGTTTTCCCAGATATAAGCTGTATACCAGGTGAAAGCTAAGGTTTTGGGCTAGATTTGTAGAAACCTAGAATAAAATCGACTGAGCAGTTTTTGAGAAAATGCCCGAATGGTATATTTTCAGTAGCCCGATTTTTAGTTTTCGGGCGATAACGTTATGACATATTTATATTTTATAAACAAAAAGATAGAGTTAGATAGCCTGTTTGAAGACCCATCTACTAATATCCACATCAATGACATGGACTGAGTAGTGCGGCCTCAGTGGTAGTTTAAAAAATTGGCTTTTTTCGAAATTCAGACAGCAGCCACGCCCACAGAGGCATACGAATCAAAACATCCTGGAACAAAACCTTAGTTTTTTTTTGTACTTTAATTCCTGAAAGTTTGAAAAAAAATTAAATGACGCCACATACATACCAAAGCATCTCCTAGTGGGGACACGAACCAAAACACATTTACCTCTATATCTTTCCAACTAGTAGCCGAAATTTAATATATAAGTTATTGTTTGAAAGGTATTGGCCTATAGAATAACACTAAATATGTTGGGTGTATCCACATGCCCCTTTAAACCGCCAAAAGCAAAAACACGTTTTTTGTTTCGCAACACTTTAGCCTAATTTTTAAGAATCCGGCTATTCGTTTATGAGGCTTGAATACATTTTCTGGACTCACTCTGCAAGACCTTTCCAACGATATCTCAAACATGTCGATTGGACGTCTGGATAAAAACTTCCAAATCTCGTGTATATATAAGCGAGTCATTTCAGCATGCTACTGTGGCTGCTTTCGTCACTCGCGCGCACTGCCGTTCGCTGTGATTTATATACCAAAACATTGTTAAAAACAAGAACACTGGCGTTTTAAAGTATTTTCTGTTACTTACATTCATAATTTTGCTTTGAATAAAGATGTACTGAAAAGTACTGATTTTTTTAGCATGAAAAAGTCTAACGTACTTATGGCGAAATGTGGTAGTTATTGGAAAGGCTGCATCTATATTTACGTAAACGGGAAATTATCATTCGATTGGGAACTATTTTCCCCTAGATTTCTAAATAGCATTGAGCTATTGTAACTTTGATTTTTTTTTTTAATTTTGCACAAAGTTTGGAGCTTTGATTTTTATGAGTTTCGTTATAAAATGATAGTCGTTTTCGTTGTTTGGACTAAACTCAAAAATCGCTGGATAGAGTTCAGTAAAATTGTCGGAGGCTAACCTCGAATATATATGTGACACGTAAAGTTAAAAAGGACCTACTTTTAAAATTTGAACGAAATCGGTTAATAAATACGATTTTAATAAATAAATCTACTCCAGCACCACCCAGCTAGTTTTCTAGTAACCTCTGACAATCTGACTGAACTCCATTCAGTGGTTTTTTGAGTTTAGTCGGAACAACGAAAATGGCTATCATTTTATGCAAATACATACCTATTTAGGACAGTCTATAGCGAAACTCGAAAAATCAAAGCTCCATTCTTTGTGAAAATTAAAAAAAAAAAATTCCTCAAAATTTTCACATAAATTTTACCTTTTACTAAAAATTAAATAACAAAGTTACAATAGTTCAATGGGATTTAGAAATCTAGGAGCAAATGGTTTCCAATCGAATGATACTTACCGGTTTATGTAAATGTATATCGATCCAGTCTTTCCAATAATTACCACTTTTCGCCATAGGTATGGTATTGATAACATATGTAGCTGTGTCGAATTTCAGGACGTTAGCATAAGCTTTTCCAGAGATAAGCTATATGAGAAGC